AACAACAACAACAACACAAAGAGCTGTCCAACAGTGATGAGAAACATTAAAAGTGAAAAATTAAAAATCAAACAGCAAAAACAAGGAAAAATGAAGGAAACTGTTGGAATAAATTCCAATGTCAACATTTTTTATAAAGTTCAGTCACAATATTTTTTCACTAATTGAAAACTCATCACATCACTGACACATTAATCTCTTGTGTCAGTTCAGCCTGATCAATAATCTGATCCATAATCTGATCAGTGTGTCTGTCCCAGGGCTGATGTCGATTGGTTCCTGCTGGCTGTGAGTCTGACATCATCATCACCATCATCACCAGGCCAGAACCAGTAGGAACCAGTCGGGTCCAGGTGAGGATGTTCAGGTACACAGCGCCGTGGCAGGTTCTGTGTCACAGTCTGGACCAGGAGACCAAGGTGAGACACAAACAACAAACAAACAAACAGAGACAGACACACAAACAACAGGCACACGGACAGTCAGTTGTAGTGTTTGTCCAGCAGGGGGCAGCAGCTGCACATGTGGTTCCTCTGTCAGCCTTCAAACAATCCATCCATCAATCATCTGTACACCTTCATCCTCACTGGGGTCGCAGGGGGCGGAGCCTATCCAGCTGACTATTACAGGGCTACACTTAGAGACAGACAACCAGCACACTCACATTCACACCTACTGACAATTTAGAATCACCAATTTACGTCAACATGTGTCTGGACTGTGGGAGGAAGCCAGAGAACCTGGAGAGAACCCACGCTGCATGGGGAGAACAAACTCCACGCAGAAAGATCCCGGTGCCCCCCACCGGGATGCGAACCAGCGACGTTCTTGCTGTGAGGCAACAGTGCTACCAACTGCACCACCTTGCAGCCCAACCTAAATATAATAAATATTAATGTTGAACCCCAACAACCCCAAGATTAATCTGATTTAGAACTAAAGTTCCAACCCTGTAAAAACATACATGAAAAAGTAATAAATCCATTTCTTCCCAGGATATGAACATGCTCTAATTTATTTCAGCTTCAGATTAATGGACTCTGTTGTAGTGTTAAGACAAACCTGATTCAGATTTTAAACACAGGGTCACTGGAGCTCGCTGAGGGCGTGGCCTATCCACACGGGCGTGGTCTATGTTGGTGGGCGTGGTTTGTCTCTGTGGGCGTGGTCTCTAGACGTAACCTTTGTCACACCAGTCAGTTGGTCTTCATTCAGTTTGAACTGCTGACCGAAAAGTGATCAGAGGTAAGAAAAGCTTCATGGTTTCATGTTAACCAGTTTAACCTCCACAGGTAAAAGCAGGTGAAAGCAGCGGAACTGTCACAGTCTACACATGTGAACTCTGTTATTGATCAGGTCTGCTGATTATCAGTCACTCCTATTGATTAACACAGAAAATAATAATTCTTTACTGTGAGGCAGCAGGTTCACACTGTTGGACACAAACAGGTGAAAATGATATTTGGGCTCAACAACAGTAATTAACAGTTTGTATGAATGTTTGAGTTCAGACAACTTCTGATAAAATTCTGTTCAACAACAAACTGTACTGAGTTTCAGGAATGAACTCTTTATCTGTAATCAAAAGTGAAACTGTTCCGGTATGATGAAGCCGAGGATGAAATCCAGAACTGAAGGTGAAGAAAATTGGAGTCATCAAGACAATTTCATCAACCTAAACTTATTTTAAATACAATGACACAGAAATCAGAGTTTAAATGAAACACAATAATTATTATCCTGTCAACCATCAAAATGATGTCTGAAACTCTGAATGTTTCTCTAAATCAGGAATTTTTTTGTTTTATCTGGCAGCCATGAGTTTAATGAAGTTGTGACAACGGGTCCATCCGATTACTTTTTACACAAGAAGTAATCTTTACTGAGGTAGAAGTACTGTAACATGTAATGGAGCACAAAGTTCAGTACTTCTCTGTCAGGTGAAGCAGACTTGAAGGACAAAGTACAAGTACCTAAAATGTGTGCTGAAGCTCAGTACCGGAGCAAATGTACTTCGTTACTTTCCTGCACCTCAGCTGGTCTATTAGAGGTGTTTCCATGGTAACAGGTGCTGAGGTTTACTGGGAGGTCAAACTGGTCAATTCCTGGACTTTGTTCATTTTCTGCTTCACTTTTTGACAGAAACATATTTATTTAATTTTGAATAGAATACAGTGCAGTAAGACAATTGTCCTGTAAATTCATGTTTCTCATTAACGTCACAAACAGGATTTAAATGCAGCAGAAACCTTCACATCCAATAAACTGCAATAATTAGGGTCCGAGGACCCCTACTTGTTCATTTATAAGCTGCTGGACTTTAATTACTCGTATTCAGAACTTTCATATCTCACAGATCTTTACTTTTTTAAAACTTAAATGCTCTTATTAATGTTTTTTTTAAATATAACTTTGCCTTTTAATATTTTATTCATCCTTGTTTCTTATTTCTGTGTTGACTTTTAGCTACATCAGTGAATTCTGTGTTTAAATTGAGGATGAATTCATGAATGTTGTCCTGTTAGAGAGTCTCTGAGTAACTGTTGAAGTTTTAATGCTGAGCAGAACATTTTAAAATCTTCACCTGTATGTCTGTTGATGTAAACAGCTCTTAAACAGGTTATCAGCTGACAGCAGCCGTCTGTCTGCAGGAGTGGCCTCTTATCTCCCTCCCACACCGAGCTGCTGCTAATGCTAACACTCTGCTAACGCTGTTGTTTCTCTGAATGGAGACGTTTTATAGCAGTTTGCAGCAGTTCCTTCGTGTCTGAGCAGAGAAATGCTTCAAGTTCATGTTGTTGGTTTGATCAAACAGCTGCAGCAGAGCAAACAGAACCAGAACCTGCAGAGCAGCAGGACCTATTCAGTTTGAATCCTCACAGTCTTTGATTCCTTCCAAACAGAACTCTGCTCCTTTAATCCAAGCGGCTGCAGCATCCTGACACACTGTCAGCAGGTTTCAGCTGCAGAGTCCATAGTGTCCAGATTTTACTCCTGATCTCAGATTTCATGACTATTTTCTGCTTTCTGGTGTCAGTTCAGTCTTCTCTGGGACTGACTGAGTTTCATGCGTCTCTTCATCCGCATTGAAGATAAACAAAAAACCTAAAACCAGGTCCAGAACCAGCACCTGAAACACGTGCTTCGATTTAGTGAGAATAGCATCAGAATAAAATTACTTCAGAACTCCATCAAGAATCTGTCTTTAGTTTCCTCCAGTAATCAGTTTACTGTGCATCAGTGGTTCTGGGTTCTGCTGCTCTAATGGACAGTTTGAACAGAAGCAAACGGAGGCTGAACACTGTTTCTCTTTACTGCAGTAAACCGATTCATACAGCCTGTTCAGGACAGTATTCTTGGAGTTTAACATGTAAATTGAATTCTATTCAGATTTATGATTTATTCAGTGGCGTGTTTTTTAACATGTTGGTTATTTGATCTTCTTTGCGTTCATGACTGCGGTCTGGATTTAAACCTTTCACCTGCTTGTTGTTTTATGATGGAAACTTTGACCTTGAAATTTATCTAATGCAGCTGAATCCATCTGAGGAACATTAAACCTTCCAGCAGTTCAAAAGTCTCTGACCTGAACTCAGCTGCCTCCGTTTGATTATTAATGAATTATTACATAAAGTAGAGTCCTGCCTGCTGTGCAGTCACATAACTTTTGTCTCCTTTATGAGCGATGCTGTAAATGGTGTCATCACCGATCAGTCAGTTCTGATAAACTTTACTGACATTCCTCACATTTCCCTGAATGCAGATTTATTTCCGCCAAACCATAAAAGCTCAGAGCTGCTCCCAGTTCAGCTGCAAAAAACTGATGCTACTGTGGACTCCAGTTCCCACGATGCTTTGCAAACACATTCAGTTCACTGGGTTTACAGTCAAGTTGTGGAGACCAGTTTAAAATGTATTATTAATGCAACAACATCCATCCATCCATCATTTATACACCTTAATCCTCACTAGGGTCGCAGGAGGCGGAGCCTATCCAGCTGACTCAGGGTGAAGGCAGGTTCACCTGGACAGGTCACCAGTCTATCACAGGGCTACACTTAGAGACAGACAACCAAGCACAGTCACATTCACACCTACGGACAATTTAGAATCACCAGTTTACCAACATGTTTCTGGACTGTGGAAGGAAGCCGGAGAACCCGGAGAGAACCCACGCTGCACGGGGAGAACTCAGAAAGATCCAGAGTGTCCTCACCGGGACGTGAACCGGTGACCTTCTTGCTGCGAGGCAACGGTGCTAACCACCAAGCCACCGTGCAGCCATTATTACAACAGTTTATTTAAATTAAAGTAAAATAAAACTTTCCTTTATAGAACATGGAGAACCATAGTAAGCAGTGTGTTTCCATGGAAATCAGTCTCTCCTATTTCCAGTTAATACTCTATGATTTGTTGCAGTGGCCTCTGTAGTTTCCATAGAAACAGCAGTCTCCTCTCTTTTGTCGTCATAGTAACCTTTCCCTCTTGTCGTTTCCAGGACAACCCCTCCTCCCTGTTTGTTGCCATGGTAACCTCTTCTTTCTGTCCTTTCAGAGACTCTCGGCAGGTGACCGTCAGGATGTTTTGACCCTCCGGAGATCACAAACTTCGACCTCCATTCATCACCTCCCACCGTCAGAGCCACCGCCCCCCGTCGGCTCACCAGCGCCCCCCGCTGGCTCCACAGCGTTCCCTGTAAACTCACCAGAGTCCCCTGTCAGCTCCACAGCATTCCCTGTCGGCTCACCAGCGCCCCCTGTTGGCTCCACAGCGTTCCCTGTCAGCTCACCAGAGCCCCCCGTTGGCTCCACAGTGTTTCCTGTCAGCTCACCAGTGCCCCCTGTTGGCTCAACTGCGCCCCCTGCAGACATGGACAGCGTTCCCAAGAGGTGGGTGTTGAAGCCTCTCTCCCCCCTGTTGCAACCTTCAGACCTGCGCACCATTGCTGGCCCCGCCTCCAACCTGGATGACTTGGATTTCAGCAGCATCTCAGTGACTCGTCAGTCCTCGGTGGTCGTGTCCTCCCTGGAGGACAAGTCCCAGGATGTGGTGATTGAAGCCCGGCAGGTTGCCGTGTCACAGGATGAGGGGAGCACCAGCGACGAGTGGCAGCCCAGCAGCCCTAGCAGCCTCAGTAGCTCCGGCTCGCACTGCGGATTTTACTCCTTCGTAGAAGATCCTGCGAGTCCCGAGGCCGAGCTGAACGAAGCCTGGATGGTGTCACCGCAGCGGCAGGCACAGATGGTCACGCTGAAGGAGGAGAGAGGATTCAAACTAAAGACCTACAGCAGCAGCAGGAAGCCGGACAGCCTGTTCTCCGACAGCAACGGAGATTCACTGTACAGAGTTGATCCAAACATCCCAGCGGTCAGGGAGGATGAGGAGAAGCAGCTCCGCAAGGAGATCATCCGCAACCAAGCACCCAAGAAGAACCCAGAGCTAAAGGACCAGTTAAGCCCACTGGAGACCCTGGATCTGAAGCAATCTACTGACAAACTCATCGAAGGCTTCAGTTTGAGCTACAGTCCTGTCAGATCAGAACCATCCCGACCCACTGAGCCCGGGACCATTGACAAGGAGCAGATCAACTTCAGTGCAGTGCGAAAGCAGTTCCTGAAGATGGAGCAGGACCGACTGATGATGCTTCTCAACCCGCTGAGGTCCTCAAAGACACACCTGACCTCATCTCGACCTGACGTGTCAACACCAGGGAGGCTAGAGACGTTTGGCAGCGTGGAGGACACCAAAAACACGACAACATTTAAAGCAGAAGCAGATAAAGAGACATATCCGCAGAGGAGGGTGACGGTGCTCCAGTCTCAGGACAGTGTGTTCGATGACCTGGACTCGCACCCGGAACAGCTGGAGGTGGGCAGTGGCATCACCAACAACAAAGGCCTGTTCAGCAGCTACACTGAGCTGGACGGTGGGACCATCAGGTCCAGCACTGCCTCTGAAACCCCGATCGAAAGGGAGATCCGGTTAGTTCAGGAACGTGAGGAGACACTGCGACGGGCCCGAGGTCTGAAGCACAGCAATAGCCAGGAGATGGTCGAGATCACAACCAAACGTTTACAGTCGCCGCTGACGCCCAAAGCCAAAGACAAGAACCGAGTGAGCTTCATTTTCCAGACAGAGATCCAGAACCAGAGAAAGGGGGAACCTCAGCTGAAAGAAGACAGCCCAGATGCATTGCCAAAGCTGGAGGACATGAGGAAGGAGTCGGATCCACAAGAGAAGGACCAGACCGACAGCTCAGTGCTCCCTTCTCCTTGCTGTCCTCACCGTCACCCCGAAGAATCTGAGTTCAGCCGAGAGAGTCTGGATGTGTCCTCTCTGACCGAGACAAGCTCAAGACGTTTCTACCGGGATCGAGAGCGTTCCTCTTCCTCCAGCTCCTCCTCCTCCCCAACACTGCCTCGTTGGCGTGACACCCTCTGGACCACCCCTCAGTCCCGGAGGGGGAACCTAGAGTCCACCGGCCTGCAGTCCAGAGGACAAGGAGCGCCAGACTTCATTGAGAAGGAGATTGAGGAGGTTCTGAGGCGGGAGCAGGAACTGAAGGAGCTGAGGGAGTCCAGGGAGGACCACCAACCACTGTTCTCTCCAGCTCCTCTGGTTGAACAGGCGACCCGGACGGCCATCAGTCAGTTTTACCCGCCTGTAAACACAGGTACGCTTCATCGAGACACCAGGACACCTGAACCACATGGTCCATCAGCAATAGGCTTCAAGGAATTTAAATATTATTCGTCAAAATGCTTCAAAAGTTGTTTCATTCAGCTGTGATGCTTCATTTAACACAAACTGCATCGGTCAGTTCATTATGCAGAATCAAACAACTTCTGATAGATGTAATACAGTTAATAAAGAACAGAATGAACATTTGGCTGCAAGAAACATAAACTTACACTGTAAACCATCTAAAATCAATTTCGTCACATAAACTCATCTTTCCCAGTTAAACTAAACTTACGAGTTTGCTGATATATTGCAGCAAATAATACAGTTATTAGACTTGTTTTCTTAAGTTTAGTTAAATTATCTGAGCTACTTTTACATTTTCACGGCTGAGACGACTTTGAACTGATAAATCAACCAAAGTGCAATCAACTCACATTTTAAGGCAGTATAGGGGAACTTGAGCTAAAGTAACTGAAAATGACTCACACCGTAGCGAAGATATTCTAAATATTATACAGTTAAAAGCTACATTTGGGTAAAAATGCCATTATTTAGATTTTTGCAACAAACTATGCTCAAGGTTTGATGGATGCTCAGCACAAGCGACTGATGAGGCTGAGAAGAACCCACATGTATGATGAAATTCAGCTCAGAAAAACTTCATCAATATAAAGTATTTAAGGAGAGCTTTAGGATTAGAAGGTCCCATAAATGTAATAGCAGTTTTCACATGATTACTTCTGACACAACCGGAGAAACTTTAAAAATAAAATCTGCAGGCCAACACCCAGAAACCAGGTGAGTTTTCACCTCAGAGATCCTGCAGCGACACGTGGACTCAATAAAATCTGACAAGATTCTGCAGTAGGTTTTAAATCTCTGCATTTTTTCATATATATTCTATGAACCTGTGACACTACAGTCATCAAAAAATGAACAGACTCTGCTACTGCTGGTCACACATAAACCAGATAGAGACACAATCAGTAACTCAGTGAGAGAAAAGACCAAAGTTCAGCAAGATTCACTGTGTGAATCAGTAACAGGCTGTAACACAACTGCTACGCAACAGACTGACAATGCAACAGACTGACAACACATCTACAGTAACACAGCAGACTGACAACACAACAGTGTGACCCAATGGTGTCTTAGTTCACAGAGTGACATCAATATTTTTTAACTTGATTCACTTTTTATTTATTTTATTTTTTATTTTTTTAACTTCATATTTCATTATAAATGCTTTTCTTCTTTGTAACCGCTGTCGTGACGTCAGTGGTTTCTGGCTCCACTCATTGGTCCACTGCTACAGGTGCAGCAGAGACCAGCTGGGTTCAGTGTAAAAGTTTCCATAAAGTTGTTTTAAACTGTGAGCAGGAGGAACTTTAATCAGCAGAGTTAGGGTTGTCAGCTTCTCTCCTGCTCTCTGTGCTCATCAACTGTATTTAATCCATCTGGACTCATCTACAGATGTTTCTGCTTTTGTATGAAACAGTGAAACTCATCCAGATGACATGTTAACCAGCATCACTTCATTTAAAATTTTATTACATTGGCAACAAATTTACCAAACACAGGAGATTAAAAATTCAATTGTATTTAAGGAGAATTCAGCCTTTTTGACAAACGTCACAATATCTGTTCACAGAATGAATTTTCACCGTCAGATAAAATCTGTCCAGTTCAACTAAACCTAAACATTTCTGTTGTGTTGTTGAGCTGACATCTAAACCAACCAGCCGTCAGATCTGGTGAGATCAGGTGGTTCCGTGCACTGATGCAGCTCTGATGGTTTATTCCAGTGAATTCTCCATGTTAATGATGGTCTCACCTCCCTGCAGAAAATGTTCCGACAGAACGATCCTCATCAACGTTTTAAGGAACGCCATCACTGCATCCTTTACTTGACTCTGCCCATGCTGATTTTGATTGGTTTAAAGAAATACAAACATATCAGGGGTTTTCTCACTAACCTCAGTGTCATTGTGGGGAAACAGATGCTAACTGATCAAGAGGAACAGCGCCACCTGGTGTTCAAACAGAAACTGACAGAACCTGCTGACGTCACACTGTGTCACCTGAGATGTCACCTGTGATGCCATTCATGTATTTCCTGCTGTTTCAGACAAAGCCGTCAGTGTTTCCCCTGCTCGTCCCTCCGTCCGTATGTCCTCCATCTCCCTCATCAGCGCTCAGCCCTGGACCTCCTCGACCTCCTCCTCCCCGGTGGTTCGCTCAGTGCCGGTCCGTGGTCTGACAGAGACGCTGCTGCAAGACTTCGAGGAGCGACAAGCCAAACGGAAGCTGGAGGAGAGCTCAGTGAGTGTTGGTTCTGCTGCTAGTTTGAGGTTTCTCCTGAGGAACATCTGATCCTGATGAGGCTGTTTATAAAAACATCTGTCTGTTTCAGTACGCAGGAATCCAGCCGGTCGACGACGTCAACGAGGAGGTACGTCCTTCAAGGAGCAGGTCCACATCTAAAGCAACGCTTTCATATTTATGAGGCAGCCTCAGTGTCCATGTCTCTTTATCTGTTTGTCTCCTTCCCTCTTTGTCTCTTTGTCTCCCTGTCTCTTCATCTGTTCGTTTCCTTGCCTCTTCACCTCTGTCTCCTTGTCTCTCTGTCTCCTTTTCTCTTCACCTCTTTGTCTCCTTATCTCTTTGTCTCCTTGTTTCTCCACCTCTTTGTATCCTTGTCTCTTTGTCTCCTTATCTGTTCGTCTCCTGGTCTCTATTACCCCTTTTCCACCGAGCTGGTTCCAGTACTAGTTCAGAGCCAGAGCCTGACTTAGCACCAGTTCTTTGTGTTTCCACCGCCTACGCACTGGCTCCAGGTTCTCAGAACTGGTCCTTAGCAAGCACCAACTCTTTGCTGGGCCAGAGCTAAGCACCGAGTACGTCAGGGGCTGGGGGCAGGTTTATTGTGACCACCGAGACCGATGAATGGGACACAAGCAGTGATTTGTGTTGTTTTTCACCAGGACATCTTTGGTCTGATTACAGATGTATTGGAATGACTCCAGGGACACATGGAAGTTCTGCACAAACTGTTGCACTGAAATCCGGTACAACTGTGTCCCACCAGCAGCACCACAGTGGCGGAAAACAGTACTTTAATAACTTTGGTGTATTTATGCTTAGAAATGAGGTCTTCTCATGAAAAACGGAGCACACCTACATGCGCTGTTTATTCTGGTCATAGAAAAGACCACATAAGAAAAAAATCACTCGGTTTCATGTTGGACAAATCTGACATCAGAACGCCCTAGTTTACTCTTTTTAAAGTCATTTTTGGTCGCACACCAGTCTGAGCACCGCAGCCGCCAACAGCAGCTACCACAGCCTGCTATGTGGAGTGTTCAGGGAACATCGTAAATTGTGGAGTCTATGGATAAGAAAATGTTCAGCAAGTCATATGTTTGCCTGTGACAAGGTGGGAAGTGCGACCTGTAAAGAACGTTATTGGGGGTCCTGTGTGGATTTCCGTGTGGTACAAGCTTTGTTCGGTAAACGTCTATGTATGCAGTGACGTATGGCATGGCTCTAACTTGGCTCCTTGCCGACGGAAAAGCAAACAGGTTCTTAGGAGGTGCCAGGTTGGAACTAAGCAAGTACTGGAACTAGCACCTGGTTCTTCATGGTGGAAAAGGGATATTTGTCTCCTTGTCTCTTCATCTCTTGTGTCTTTGCTTTCAGGTTGTTGAGTCAACTCGAGTTATTCGACATAAAAACCAGAGAGCTCTGCGCTGGGAGGCCGGGGTGTTCGCCAACCAAGAGAACCAATGAGATCAGCAGAACCAGAACCAGATCCAGAACCAGATCTGTCCTTTGGGGACATTTGTTGTTCGGCAGCACGACAGATTCTTCCCTTCAGCTGAAATTCAAATGATTTTAAAGTTGGACGCTTCAACAGACAAGGCTGATTGGTCCTTTACGATGTGTACCCTGCCCTCGTCCAATCAGCTGCCAGCTGCTGCATCTTAAGCAATCATGAAGTTCCTGATTCATGTAAAAAAGAAATAAATAAAAAAGTTCATGTGAGTGAAACAGCACTTTGTTCTGCAGACCTCTAATCTGACACAGCACAAAAGCACATTTCTGAATTCATTATGATTTGAAGCTGATGTAGCTGAAAGAATAAAAGCAATAACTGTCCTCAGACTGTCCTGCTGTCTGTCCATGTCACATCAAGCTCTGAATACAGTAAAGAGCAGCACAGTAAACTCTGTTTATTATGCAGTTAACATCCACTCTGAACACGGTCAACTACACAGTGTAAAACATATTAAAAACACATTAAAAACACATTTTAAACCGCTGCAGACGACAGCGACATGGATGAACTTCCTGCTTGGCTGGAAACATCTGCTGAAAAGGAAAGAATCAGAGTTAAATTTTAAGAATGTTCAGATGTAAAAATATTTATAATAAAAATTAAAAATATAATATGTAAATATATTTTATTTTAATCCATCACATCAGCTGCAAAATGTTTTGCAGGGAAAGTGTCTCTTCGTACAGATGTACCTGAAAGACTTTGCTCGAGGATTAAAGCTTCCGGGTTCACCTGCAGGGGAGGCTGCCCGCGGCGCCTGTCGAAAAACACAGTACGGTTACCTCCAGACTCACAGAGCGGATATCAGACGTTCAAACACTTTACATGAAATATTACACACAATTATATCAAGATCATATGTGGAGCCGTTTGTCTTTATGGTCAGTGTGTTTTTATGCAGGCAGCTGTAAAGGCAGCCATGTTGGCTGGGGGTCCTGACACAGTTACAGAGAGTGGTTTGTTTGCTAACCGGTGCTAACTGATGCTAACAGTCTCCGGTACTTTAGACTCCCGGTACCGAAGCTGAAATTGCCTCCGGTTCAGTTCGAGTTTCTGCTTCAAAGCTTCATTCGGTGTTTTTATAAAAACCGACACATTTTTATTTCAAACTTCGTTGCTGGAGCGGAAAACAGACGGTGAGCTCACGTTAGCGCTTCTTCTGCATTTCAACTGTTCGCTACCTAACAACGTGTAATAACTAGTATAAATAGTACTATAAATAACTAGTTCTCTAACTAGCACCTACTAACTTAGCTGTAGTCTGACAAACGTCTGTTTAATTTCAGCCCTCACACTGTTCTCAGACTTGCTGATTTTAGGAGGATAATGACGGTGTTTAGGCTGAATTATAACAGCCAGGATCAGGTTGTATCGGAGGGTCGACCTTAAATAAAAGGATTCGGGTTCTTTATTTATCCAAGAAGACTTCAATTGTCAGCTTCTGCATTAATTTGATCATTTTTGTTACTTATGTTTGAATGTTTCAGTTAGACTGAAATTTAATATTCTGTCTTTGCTCCGTGTTGAAAAGTGCAACCACATAAACATCATATCCCATTAAATCAGGAAAGGTTTTCCCTCAGAGATCAGCAGCCGTTCAGAAAATAAAATCCTGAAGCTTGCTGTGTGTTAACCTCATTAAATTCTGTCTTTTTACACTTTAAATGATTGTTCTCGGCTGACGTGGTTTCTCTGTTTTCTGTGAATGTGAGTACATTAAAACCTGTTTAACCTCCTGTCAGGTTAATTGATAATGAGGTTTTTTTGTTAGTTAAAGCCTGATATTTGACATTTTGTAGTAAAAATGTCTGAAATTATGAATTAGCCAGATAAATGCTACAGCAGCGCCCCCTGTTGGCTGCAGGTTGTTTCCATGGTAAACAGTTTTGTAGTTTGTAAGCTACGAAAAGTTTAGAATTAATCAGACAGATCTGATTGGTAAGTCACAGCTTCAGGTGTCAGTCTGTGATCACACGTGTGTGTCTGTTCTCAGGTGAGGCGTCATCTGGCCTCCAGTTTTTTCTTCTGTGGTTCCATCATGGAGCTGGCGTATGTGTGTGAGTGGGAGAAGCGTCCAAAGAGCACCCACTGTCCGTCCATCCCGCTGGTCTGCTCCTGGTCCTGCAGGAACCTGGTGGCCTTCAGCACTGACCTGAAGAACGACGATGATGACAAGGGTATACACATGCACACGCAACACGCACACACACACACACACACAGTTATGGTTGTGGTCATCCCTTCATGAGTTTGTGTGTTGCAGATGTGAGTCACATGATCCACATCATCGACACCGAGCATCCCTGGGATGTTTACTCCATCAACTCTGGACACACTGAGGTCATTTCCTGTCTGGAGTGGGACCAATCAGGTGAGGTTTACCCCTTGCAGCAACTCTACCTGGTTTCCCTGAATATTCCTGTTTTGGTTGTGTGTTTATTGTTGTGTTGTTGTATTTGTGTGTCTGCGGAGGCTCGAGGCTGCTGTCTGCAGATGGCGACGGTCAGATTAAATGCTGGTCGATGTCGGACCACCTGGTAAACAGCTGGGAGAGCGTCCTGTCCAGCTCTCTGGACGGAGACCCCATCGTGGCGCTGAGCTGGCTGCACAACGGAGTCAAACTGGCACTGCACGTCGAAATGGTAACACGGATCATAAACAGTCATGTTTCATATATTCACTTGTAACCTGCTGCAAACGTCTAAACAGGTAAATACAACACCTGTTCTCTCTCTCTTCAGTCTGGTTCTACCAACTTTGGGGAGAAGTTCTCCCGGGTGAAGTTCTCTCCGTCTCTGACCCTGTTTGGCGGGAAGCCGATGGAGGGCTGGCTGGCGGTGACAGTGAGCGGTTTGGTCACCGTGTCGCTGCTGAAGCCGGGCGGCGCTTTGTTGACGGCCAGCGAGAGTCTGTGTCGGCTAAGAGGACGAGTGGCGTTAGCTGACATCGCCTTCACTGGAGGAGGGAACATCGTGGTGGCGGCAACAGATGGCAGCAGCTCCTCCCCCGTCCAGTTCTACAAGGTCAGAACCAGGCAACCTCTGACCTCACCTGCTGCACCAGAACCACCAGATAAACCGCTTTATTCTGTGTTCAGGTAGTGGTGAGTGTGGTGAACGAGAAGTGCCGCATTGACACTGAACTGCTGCCGTCGTTGTTCCTGCGCTGCACCACTGACCCACTGAGGAGGGAAAAATACCCGGCAGTCACTCACCTCAAGTTCCTCACCAGGGAGAACTCTGAGCAGGTACCCAGTTCAACCAGTAGAACCAGTAATCGCAGCTCTGTAACAAGACTGATGCTCTCCCAGATGTGGGATCAGAACCTTTAGAACCTGACTAGTTCTATGTTCCAGGTTCTGCTGTGTGCGTCCAATCAGAGCGGCAGCATCGTGGAGTGCTGGTCTCTGAGGAAGGAGGGGCTCCCTGTCAACAACATTTTCCAGCACCGATCACCAGTTGGTGAGAAACTGCAATTATAACTGGTCAGACTGGGTCAACTGGAGTTGTACCAACTGCTGAGGCCAAATTTCTCCCAGTCTGAGGCAGTGGTCACCCAAATCCCCTCTGTCTGACCTCTGACCTCCTGTATCTAACCTCTGACCTCCTGTATCTAACCTCTGACCTCTGTGTACAGTTGGGGAGAAGCAGCCGACAATCCTGAAATGGCGAATCCTGACGACCACCAATGATCTGGAGCGAGTGTCAGCCGTCGCTCTGCCCAAACTGCCCATCTCCATCTCCAACACTGACCTGAAGGTGGCGTCGGACACCAAGTTCTGCCCTGGGCTCGGTGAGGAAAACCGAGAAGAACTCTGGAGAACTATGGGAACCTGATCTATACCAGAAAGCCAATTATAACTACTGAGGAACCTGCAGATCTAAAGTCTAAATGTTAACATTTTTATCAGGAATCCTCTGAACTCTGAGAACTGAATCCAAACCTGCTGCTGTGTCATCTCTACTTGATGAGATCTTGAATTTGGAGGAATCGGGTTCTGCAGGTTCTCCATGTTGCCTGAATGATGTTTTAGTTTCACTTTTATGTAGGCAGGTAAGTTACAACGTTCTCAGATGGAGTGTTCTCCTGATTCTCAGGTCTGGCCCTGGCGTTTCATGACGGCAGCATCCAGATCCTCCACCGTCTGTCCCTCCACACCATGGGAGTGTTCTACGGTTCCTCGTCCTCCGCCCAGCGGCCTGGAGACGAGTCCACCATCAAACGCCAGAGAACCGCAGGCCCCGCCCTCCACTTCAAGGCCCTGCAGTTCTCCTGGACCTCATTGGCTCTGGCTGGAGTTGACAACCACGGCAAGGTGAGGACACACACCTGGAGACAGAGCTATGGACACACCTGGACACTAGGGCTGTAAAGATTCGCCGATACGAACCAGAAACCGATTTTAACTTTAACAATATGAATACATTGATCGGCGAGCCACTCACCTGCCACCACCCCGGGACCGTTAATTGGGACCGAATCTCTGGAGATCAGCCCTACCTGATACGTTTCTCTTTACCACACAATCAGTTTCCAGCTGCATCGAATCGAATCGTAATGTATTAAAAGGTATCGTTAGTGAATGGTATTGTGACCCATGTGTCTGGACTTGTATTGGATCACCTCTTAAGGTAGAGATGCATACCCATACTGGAGACACAACTGGACTATTTTTTTAAAGTATTTTTTCAAACACAAGTCTGATATGTTGAAACAGTTAAAAGGTTCCAATGTTTTTCTTGTTTCTCTTTTGTTTTTTTGATGTGATCTGACGCCTATTGTTGCCTCCTCCCAGCTCCACATGCTGCGGGTGTCACCCTCTATGGGGCAGGTGCTGGAGATGAACACGACACTGCGCCACCTGCTGTTCCTGCTGGAGTACTGCATGGTGACGGGCTACGACTGGTGGGACGTGCTGCTGCATGTGCAGCCCAGCATGGTGCACAACCTGGTGGAGAAGCTGCACGAGGAGTACATGAGGCAGAACCAGGCGCTGCAGCAGGTCAGTGAGGCATGCTGGGAAAACGGCGGCCATATCGGAGTCACAGGGATCCAAACAAACCACTGTAGTTTAATCAGGCTGCAAATATTATATTTTATATTACGCAATTTCAGTTAGTAATGCAAATTTTACAGCACCTTCTTATCTGATAATCAGCAGCATAAACAGATTGATAAATCAGTAACATAAATTTTGCTCTGTTGACATTGGCCCCTCTACTGACCCTTATTATTACTGGACATGTGACACCATCTACATCTGTCACTGGTTTTGAAAACACTGGTGGCTGATCCCAGCATGTGAAGAGCTTCATGAGCGCTGGTTGGAGATCATGAACCTTCAGTGTCTTGGTGTTTGTTGCTAGCTGAACTCCCACTATGTTCTATTGATGAAGCTATTTCATTTAAAAACAAGAATGGCCAACGCAGTGATGAAACAAACTGCTTTCATCATAACATTCTAACAAGGTTCTGTCTGTACATCCACACTCTCCACATCCACTTGTTTTAGGTTCTGGCGACTCGCATCGTGGCGGTGAAGGCGTCTCTTTGTAAACTCTCCACGGCGACAGCAGCCCGAGCATGTGACTTCCACGCCAAACTACTGCTGATCGCCATCAGTGCCACCTTAAAGTCTCTGCTGAGGCCACACGTCCTCAACACACCTGACAAGAGTCCAGGTGATCGGCTGACCGAGATCTGTGCCAAGAACACCGACACAGGTGAGACTGCCGCCGGCGTTCAGTGAGGATCAGCTGATGGCCAGAGACTGATCACTGTGTGTTTCCTCAGATATCGATAAGGTGATGATCAACCTGAAGACAGAGGAGTTTGTGTTGGACGGTCCCCCCCTGCAGTCCCTGCAGCAGCTCATCCAGTGGGTCGGAGACTTTGTCCTTTACCTGCTGGCCAACCTGCCCAACCAGGTGAGGTGATGGAGAACAGGTGTTGACAAAACAGCTCATGTTCCAGGTGAGGAAAAACGACAGGCAGCGGTTCTTCATAGGAGGTGGATTATGGGACACAAAACCATCACAAGGAGAAACAGACATCACCTTAACCAGATCAGAACCTCTGACCTGTTGGGTCCCAGTAGGGTTGTTGTTTGTTTGTGTGTTCTGGACCAGAACAGGGGAACCATCTAGGACTGCAATCTGTGACCCAACAGGACTCCATAGCACTCCTGCAGCCTATAGTCTCATCATCATGTTTATCTGTTGGTTCTGAACGCTGGTTTCCCTGCAGGGCTCCATGGTCCGGCCCGGGTTCGGCTTCATGAGGGACGGGGCGTCTCTGGGGATGCTGAGGGAGATGCTGGTGATGATCCGGATCTGGGGTCTGCTGAAGCCCGGCTGCCTGCCCACCTTCACGGCCACGTCAGACAGCCAGGACAACATGCAGCTGCTGTTCAAACTGCTCACCAAGCTGTGGCTCTGCTGTAAGAATTCTGTTCTGGTTCTAACCCAGTCCACTGAGATCAGCATGCAGCCTCCGGTTGTGTTGATTCTGAGTGAGATCAGCAGCACTAACACAGATCAAACTCTGAACTGAATTTGACAGATTAATGGAAACACCTGACTGATACAGCGGTGGTTCTGTTGTACTGTGGGGAGTTCTGTTTCCACGGTTTGGGTCCGTTTGTCCCATCAGAGGAAAGAATCGCTGTCGAAATGCTTTTAAATTTTGATTGCTGTGGATGGAGAGGTGGTTTTTGATGTTTGTGTGGCAGAGAGCATTGTGGGGTTAATGTGACAACGGAACACCATGACAGACTTCTGTGGAGGTCAGTGGGTTCTAGCTAACAGAACACGGGCTTAGTGTACGGGACAATAGGCTTGTAGCTGTGTGGCTGATCATCCTCCAGGAAACAGTACGTCAGTGTTTAAAAGTGGCTTCATCTGTATGTGGAAAACTGACTACTGAGCTTTGTTAATGCTCATGATTAATTGGTTGTTGACTGATTATGTGGCCTACTGTCCATTAGGCAGATTTACAGCTCTAGTTCTGACCTAGGAACTACTTTCAGAGAACAGAGTTCCTCCAACAGGATCGGTTCTTCTGAGCGGTCCTGAAACACTGCTGTGAGGGCCTCAGTGCTAATTGGTTAACCTCAGAGATGACAGCATGTTCTGTCTTTCAGTAGAAATGTGCTGATCTGTCCTGTAGCAGTGACTCTGAGGAGCTGTTCTGTTGGACCAAGACATTTCTGAAACTTTGTGACAGCTTTTCCTTTAATTTGTCACGTCTGTAGTACTTCAGCAGAAAGAACGAGCTGCTGCAGCATCAGACAAGAGTTTCACACTTTCTGGTAACCAGCTGATGAACTCTGTGTTTACAGCGCGGGATGATGGACCCCCCCAGGACCCCGACGAGAGTCTGATTGATGAGTGCTGCCTGCTGCCCAGTCAGCTGCTGGTTCCCAGTATGGACTGGCTCCCAGTAAACGACGGCGTCATCGTGAAGCTGCAGGGAAAGCACCCGCTCAGGCTACAGTTTGGAAAGGCGTCATCGCTGCCCGGAGCCGGAACCACTGCCCCGCTGGAGGTCTTCACCAGGTGAGACACACCTGAACCTGACAGGGCCACATCCAGAAACATTTCTTTGGATGTCCAGATGTGACCACAGAAAATCCTGGGATGCTTCACAAAATCCAAAATCTATAACTGAACTTCAGGAATCTGTGCTGTTGCTGCAACATAGAGGCGGGTTTAAACTGTCAGAGTGGGAGTTAAGAAATCAGACCAACGTCTTTTATCATGTTATAGTGACTGAAGCTGCTCAGGAGAGGAGATGCTGAGTGTCAGAGGAGCGTTTCCCCTGTCGGCTAAACATACACAGTTTGTTTATTTAATTCTGTCCATAAACTATAAAAGGGGCTGCACAAGGTCACGTTCTGTATTCCTCATCCATACGTTCAATAGTGTCGCTGCTGCAAACATCCAGCTGTGGAATTAAAAAAACGTCCCTAAAAAACCTTCACGTTTAATTGACCTTGTGATGGATCAGGATTCAACCTGACCAAAGATTTATCTGCAGCTGATAAACTTTGTGAATGAACTCATCAGATTTACGAAGGCCAATGAGATTTTTTTTTTTAAAGATCAGACTTTCAGGAGCCACCGTGGCTTAGAGGTGCCTTTGGAACCAGAACCAGAACTCTGAGAGTGAACAGGCAGGTTAAAGGTGTTTACAGGTGTGTCTGTGTGTTCAGGAGTCCTGGTTCCCAGAAGATGGACAACCTGCGCTGTGTTCACATGGGAGTTTGTCCCACTGAGGAGAGTAAAGCCTGCACCAGGTGAGTCACAGCAGGTGTCCTTCAGCACCTGATCTGATCCTTATTGATCACAGTGTTGATGTGATCAGTGACCTTAAATCTGTGGAAACTCCGCCCCTTCAGGTGTGGCTGCGTGACAATGCTTCGTTCTCCCAACAAGACCAACGCTATGAAGCAGTGGGAGCAGCGCTGGATCAAGAACTGTCTGTGTGGAGGCCTGTGGAGGCGGATCCCCCCTACACTCACCTGAGTGCACAACAGGTGACCTCACCTGGACGCTCTCTAAGATGAACTCATGTTGTCTGGCTGGCTTTAGACGGGTAGATCACCATGGTAACTGGGATACCTGATGCTGCAGGTGACCTTCAGGTGATCAGATGAGTCACCTCACACACGGTTTCATTCTCAGAATGGCAGCTGTCTGTTAAACAGCTGGTTTTAGCTGCGTTTGGATCACATACTTTTTATTCTTAGCTTTAGAATCTACTGCAGCTGCCCTCACAGTATTTACTGTTTCATGCAGCCAGGCTACAAATGGACACACGGATTCTTCATCATAATGGACCTTAACCTCTGAACGTCTGCAGTGTGAAATGAGCTTCACCTATTTCTACAAACTCTAACGTCCTACCGGAGGCAGTAGACCATGCAGGTGTATTTATACCACATTTGGCCACGTATCTGGATGAACCGAATCTGTTTTTGCAGTACGATATAGTTTTCCAGGATGGATGTTGGAATGCATCCTTTGTTTTTGCTTCTGTCTTCTTCTACTCTGTTTATTAACGTATGCTACAGCGCCACCTTCTGACAGCACTCCACAGCCGGGATTATTCACTCCAAAGCACTTAATAGAACAAGAATAATTCACAATTTCCTGTTTCTAAAGTTGGCTTCAGATTCAGTTTACAGTTCCATCAGTGTCACTGTCACAGGCCAATTTTCAGCTGATTATTCTGAACGTGAGTCATTTTAAACTGACCATGAAATATGAAATACACATGAAAGGATGAGTTTAATACTTTAACCCAGTTTCTGATTTATCTGTGGAAACTGTCAGGAGTAACCTGAATCATGAATAACCTGCATCAGACAGAGCATGCTCAGTAGCAGCTCAGACTGCTGACTGTTCTCTTCCTAATGTCGGACTGTCTGCAGGAGTAGTCAGATTCAGGACTCCGCTGTTCTAAAAACTCTGCTCTTATTAACAACATGAACAAGGAGAGCCGAGTCAGAACCAGCTATGGTTCCAGTTTATTACCAGGATGGTGAAGTTTAGCATCAGAGCTGCAGATCCAACTGTAAATAGAATCTTTTTTCTAATAAAACGAATACACTGAGCACCATGTTGATGTTTCTGCTGAGACTGTTGTGATTCACTGTAAATATGAAAACACCAGTTCTGAAGAGCGTGTTGCACTTTAAATGTCGTCTACTGAACCTGCGAACCAGGAGTGAGATGAAGAGACCAAACCTGTGAACGGAGCGGACACTTGGATCAACCTGCCCACTGCTAAGCTACCAATGGGTGAATAAAGGTGTGCAGAGACCTGGACCAATCATCTGCCAGCACCTCGCTGCTACATTCAGACAATGAGCATGTGGCTGCTGCACCACAAAGACTCCTGATGGAGCCACAACATGAGGTGACTAATGATAGAACAGGAACGCTCAGGAGCACATACGTCTGCTGGTCGGCCTGGACTCGGACCAGAGCCTGCTCTAAGACGCAGTTCAGACCAGTCTGACTGTGTTGTAGACACTTGGGTCACAGACAGACTGAACTGGTCCTGCTGGTCTCTGGAAGAGGCTGACAGCAGCTTGCCCAGTGAGGCAGGTGGAGCAGGATAGTGATCGGGATGGAGGACAGCAGCCGCAGTGGACAGATGGTGCTTGAAGCTTGCTGACCCTCCTGGTGGAAGTCATCGCGACAGAAATGTCGTTTAAAATCAGCAAACCATGACGCTCGAGAGGGTTGCTGAAGTGCATTAAAGAGTCCAGTCCCACTGAGGGGCCGAGGGTCTGCTGCTGCAAACTGTTAACTTCTGGGCACCTCGCAGGAAAAGTCTAATTAAGGCACAGCCATCCTCATTCAGTATTCACCACCTCGCACGGGAATGGAAGAGCTCCTACCTCCAGCTGGGCCTACAGAAACAGCAGCATGACCTGGGCTGTGGCTGAGTCTGCCTAGTGTAGAGCTCACCAGCAGTATGAGCAGTATGGATGGTGCTCCTGCATAGTCCTCAGTGCTCTGAAAAGCCTAAGACCAGGAGCTTCTCCTGTCAGGACCAGGACAACAACCAGAGTCCGGGGTGGAACCAGGTCAAACTTGCCAGAGACAGCAGGTCCAACCTGAAGCAGGAGCTCTCATGGTGTCAGAGTCTCTAAAGCCAAGTGTGGCCAAGGGGAGCCCAAAGCAGCCGGATCTCTTCCACCTGAACCCTTCAGAAAAGAGTGAAAGGAAGGTGTAGAGCAGATCCTGGAGCAACTGGAACCACCAGAACTTCCCACTCCAGATGTGGTTGGTTGTTCCTAAAGGAAAAAGAAGAGTCGATACTGTATCGACTGTCTGGAAGCGAACAAGTGGACTTTTGTCCTGTCGAAGTAAACCTACAGAACCCGAGGATGAGTCACTGCTGGGATTTAATATTTAATGCTGTACCACAAACACAGACGTCCAACACTGACCCTGACAGGTGGAGCTCCAACTGGTGCTGTACAGGTAAACATACCCTGATCAGGGTTCCTGATGATGGAAAACTTTGTGTTACTGCAGGTAGAACTCAGAATGTGCAGGAACTTTAATTTCCGGGTGCTGAGAAGGAAGGATATGGACTGCAGGAGCTGTACCTTGGAAGTTCCTGTATATCATACTCAACTGCTCACTGCTCATCAGTACTGAAGAACATTTAAGTTCCTGAAAGTCAGAACTCAGGAACTTGAAGTGAGAAAAGCAGCAGTGACCCTGCATTGTTCTGTGTTCTCCTGACAGCTGGACGAGTCTTGAGATCCGAATCTAAGAAATGTTTCTTTATTCTGGTTTAATCGTTCTGAGTCCTGCTGACAGAAGACATCTCTGAGTTCTCTCTCCTCCTTTGTGTTTTCTGGTTCCACATAGCTGCAGGACTTCATGCTGCACAGAAACATGAACCAGGAGCTAAAAACACCCAGAAACTGCTCAGAGGGTTCATCCAAAACAGCTGAATCCTACACGTCCCACAATGCAGCGAGTCTAGTTTGATTCTACACTCAGGTCTAAAGGTGATATCAGGTGATGAAACCTGCAGCATTGATCTGACTGCAGGTGGGCAGAGCTCCTTCTGCTACGCTGCGCTCTGATTGGCTGATGAGGTGTTTCCTTCAAGAGGACTGGAGCTGCAGACTGTCTCTGAGGCTGATCAGAGAGCAGCTCATCTCCAGGTGAACCAAACCTCAGGTACAAACGGTGCGATTCAAGGTTCTCCAGGAGAACAGCAGCTCAGGTGTTTGCGCTGCAGTACAGGTGAGTGGAACGTGATGATGTAAAACCTTGTAATGCGTCTGAGGCACTAATCACCTGCCATACAGAGCAACACACCCACCGAGTTCCGCGTTCACACAGAATCTGTCTGCAGCCCTCTCCAACACACACACACACAGCAACACACACACAGTAACACACACACAGTAACACACACACACCCAGCAACACACACACAGTAACACACACACACCCAGCAACACACACACACACCCAGCAACACACACACAGTAACACACACACGCAGCAGCGGGAAACGGGAGCTCGGTAGCGCGTCTCAGATCTGCGGAATCTGGTGGATAACGGAGCCGAACCGGAGCAGCGGCAGCCGAACCGGAACTGGACCGAGCCGCAGTGAGCCGGGGCGGCCAGCAGCGTGTCGGTGTGACGCTCTGCGGCTCCGGTTCTGCTGCAAGAAACGTGACGAGAATTAAAGCGGGTCGGTGGAGTGAGGTGAGACCGAGTGTGTGTCTGTGTGTTGCTGTGTGTTATTGTGTGTTACTGTGTTAGTGTTTCTGCTGCAGAGCTGCATCGTGTTACAGCAGATCAATCAGAGCTGCATCACAATGAAACGTTCCTGCTTTGTTTCGGTAAATCCTGATCGGTCTGTCTGTCTGTCTGTCTCTCACCTGTCTGTCTTTCTGTTTGTTGGTCTGTCTCTCACCTGTCTGTCTGTCTGTCTGTCTGTCTGTCGGTCTGTCGGTCCCAATAATCGCCCCATCAGTAGGTAGATGATCTCTGTGCTCTAACTGGTGGGCTGTTAATTGGCAGATGAGTATTTGAGGTTTCTGGTTTTCAGGTGATGATGCTGATGCTGATGATGAAGGTGGTGATGATGATAATGATGATGATGATGATGATGATGATGAAGGTAACCTGACTCTCCCTCTGAGTAAAAGCTGATGAAGAATCATATTGGTCTCAGTGCTTCTCTGTAGATGTGACTGGAAGCAGCAGTAGGAGCTCTCTAAGAGCTGCTCTTCATCTTCGCCGTCATCTTCATCACCACCTTCATTAGCATCTTTATCGTAGCGCCTGTTTGTAGCGGAACCATCATCTGTTTTTTACAGAACCATCGTACTGCAAAAGTGATTCAGATCCATCTGTCGCTGTGATACAGGAACTTCCTGGTTGATCTTAGTTTGTCCTAGTAGTCGAAGCAACGGGCACCATGACAGACTTGTGTGGAGGTTAATGACCTCCAACCAGAGCTCAGGTGTTTAAGGCAAACTGGGATCTTTCTACGTGGAGTCTCCATGTTCTCCCCATGCAGTGTGGGTTCTCTCTGGGTTCTCCAGCTTCCTCCGATAGTCCAAAAACATGTTGAGGTTAATTGATGATTCTAAATTGTCTGTAGGTGTGAATGTGAGTGTGCTTGGTTGTCTGTCTCTAAGTGTAGCCCTGTGATAGACTGATTACCTGTCCAGATGAACCTGCCTTCAGTCAGCTGGGATAGGCTCAAGCCCCCTCCACGACCTGAGTGAGGATTAAGGTGTATAGATGATGGATGGATGGAATCAACTACAACAGAGTTCCTGACTTACAGTAACAGATGGAGCAGAGCTGACTGAGGAATAGACCAGCAGTCTGTGGACTGAAACATCTGCAACGAACAAATGTCCACGATGATCAGTCTGAGTTATCAAAATCCTACAGGTCAGATTGAAGATGAAGCTGTAAGATCCTGTGATCAGATCTGTGGATAGACCTGTAGAGTTCAGCTTTATCATGGGAGTTAAAGCTGTTAGTTTCTCTCAGGGGTGAACAGTGATGTTTGTTTAGAGCAGCAGCTTCAGAGTGGAACCGATGCTTCTCAAACAGAACCTAAAGGAACCTCTGGAGTTGTTGGGTTTCTTTTCAGGTCTTTACCTTCCTGTGTGATGCAACCTTAGGTGAAATGCTGGTGATATCAATGAAACTGAACTGAACTGTGTTTCTGTGTTTTAGGTTGATGAGGATGATGATGATGATGACTTCCTCAGAGAAGATGAAGAAGAAGCCTCCGAAGGACAGTCTGACTCTGCTGCCATGTTTCTACTTTGTGGAGGTGAGAGGAAACGGTCACATGACACATGGTCACATGACACACACAGCTGACAGCAGCCAAACAACACAGGCACCTGGTGAAGGTGGGCAGTCTGACAGCTCAGATATGTTTTGATCTCAGGTTTGTGTTCAAACCTTCAGTGGGTCGGCTCGTCTCTTGCTGAGCTGTTGGTTCCTCCTGAAGACAGAAACGTTCTTCACAGATACAGCATCTTTAAACTGGAGCTGCGGTCAGTTATTCAGGAAACTGCATCTGTTTATTATCCTGTTAAACCAAAGAAAAGCAGTAAGAACATTATTGTTGTAAAAGGAAAATAAACCCAAATCCACAGCTCTGAAGTTGTGTGTGAAAACAATCCCTATTTCTTACTTACGTGAGACCAGGCCGTGCCACACCTCCTCTGAAATATACATAACAAGAGAAAATTATAAAGAAGGGCGGAAAAAGACCCAAAGCAGCAGCTGTAGGATTGACCTGCTCTTCTTAAACCTCTACACTCACATGAGGTTATTGGTGAAAGATGCTTTACAGTCATTGCAGAAGTTTTTTATTGTTTGTTTGTGTGCAGTTGCCCATCGTGGCGTCTTCCATGGTGTCGCTGTACTTCCTGGAGCTGACCGACGTGGTACAGCCCGCTCAGATGGGTTTCCGCTGCCACGACCGAGACCTCAGCATGCCGTACGTGGACGGAGGAGACGAGCTGATCCCGCTGCTGATGCTTCTTAGCCTCGCCTTCGCCGGCCCCGCTGCCTCGGTGACCTTCACTATTGTTTATTGTGTTGATTTATTGGACTGGCTCATTTACCATCAACACAGCAGGCGGAGAAACATGTTTACAGCATGTTCTGCACAAGGTCGGAGGTCTAAAATGAAACTAATTTCCAGTTGGAAACAGTTGTGACCTGAAGCCAGATTTAATTACGCTCCTCTCAGCTTTAGTATAAGTACCTGCCCAACATGTCCTGGATGTTCATGTTCCTACGAGGACTTTGACTTTTAGTGTAAAACACTGACAAGCAAGAAAATATTAAAAAAGGTAAAAGAGTAAAAAATAGAAGTAAGTGTAGCAAATCAAAGGTATTATAAAAGTAATACAGATATTTATAATGTGTTGGAATCTACAAGTCATTATGTAAACCTTCAGTTCAAAGCGCCTCGACCCAAATCTGGAAAAACTCCCTAAAGACTGCAGAACACTGTAGGGATGCTCTGGTGATGAGGAAGGCATTTTTCACTGGACTGGCACAAACATAACCCCGATCTTTTGTTTACGTCTGCTAAGATGTCATAACTTTAAAAATGTCCTGAATAAATGCAACATTAATATTAATAATTTGTTTTACAAATTACGTTCATTAGATATTGATCTTGGGCTGATGTTGCTGTTTTAAGCCACAGACAGCCTGCGGATGCGTCTGAAAACATTGTCCAACTTAACTTATGTCCCCAAGCTGGAGGTCACTAAGTGACACGTAAGTCTTTGTCATGGTGTCTGTTGCCAGCAAAACCCTTAGTAATGCTCTCTGCCTGCAACCATGAATGGCTTGCTATTAAACAGTAGGGTCCACCAGGAATGGCCTGCCTGATCTGAACCCAAGTGGTGTTCTGTTAATAAGTTCTGTCCTCGTCATGGATTGGCCATACCGATCACCATGTTCGAACGTAAGGTGGGTCATAAATGAACTTGATACGAGAGCACCTTTGGCCAAAGGTTGTTGGTCAACTTTGTAGTGTCATCAGACCAGCGGCCGAATGTCTCGGACAGTTGGGTGAAGAGAGGAGCAGAGCTGTCAACTGATCACCACCTGGTGGTGAGTTGGATCTGATGGCAGGGAAGGCTGCCGGACAGACCTGGTAAACCCAAATTTGTAGTGTGGGTGAGCTGGGAACGTCTGGCGGAGGCCCCGGTCCGCGGGGTTTTCAACTCCCACCTCTGGAAGAGTTTTTCCTGCATCCCGGGGGAGGTTGGGGACATGGAGTCAGAGTGGACCATGTTCAAAGCCTCCATTGCAGAAGAGGCTGTTAGGAGCTGTGGCCAGAAGATCACTGGTGCCTGTCGCTGCAGGAACCCAAACACCTACGGATAGGCACTAGCAGTGAAGGAAACCATCAGGCTGAAGAAGGAGTCTTTTCAGGTCTGTTTGGCTCATGGGTCTCCTGAAGCACCAGAAGGGCTGCAGCAGTTGCAGAAGCTAAAACTCAAGTGTGGGAGGAGTTCAGAGAGACTTTGGAGAAGAACTTTCAGTTGGCCTCAAGGAAGTTCTGGCAAAACGTGTGACGCCTCAGGAAGGGGAGGCAGGGCTTGACCCAGGCTATGTACAGTTGGGGGGACAACTACTGACCCAGACTGGGGACACTGTTGGGCAGTGGAAAGAGCACTTCAAGGAACTCCTTAACCTCGTTAACACGTAGTGTGCGGTACCAGGTTTGTTGTTACGAGCCATTAATTCTCTGTACAACCAAAGTGAGAGCTGCATTTGCGTCCTCAGCAAAAAGTCAGACACATTTCTGGTGGGTGTTGGACTCCTCCAGGGCTGCCCCATGTCTCCGGTCCTGTTTGCGGTGGTCATGGATCTCAAGGTGCTGCCAGAGTGATGAAGGGGTCCGGTATGAGGACCTCAGCATCCCAGCTCTGCTTTTTGCAGATGACTTGGTTATGTTGGTTTCATCAGATGGCAGCACTGGAGCCGTTTGCAGCCGAGTGAGAGCGGCAGGGATGCGAGTCAGCACTTCTGAGTCTGAGGCCATGGTTCTCTGCCGGAAACCAGTGGATTGCTCCCTCCAGGTCGGAGGGGAGGTGCTACCCCAAGCAGAGGAGTTTAAGTATCTCAGGATCTTGTTCACAAGTGATAGGAAAATGGAGTGGCTTGGTGTGGCATCAACAGTAATGCAGGCGTTGTACCAGACTGTTGTAGTGAAGAGGGAGATGAGGCAGAAGGTGAAGCTATCAATTTACCAGCCCTCCTACATTTCAAGGAGCCAAGGATCCCCCAGGAAGAACTGGACATCTGGAGTGACCTGCTTCATCTGCTGCCTCTGCGACCTGATCTTGGATAAGTGTAGAAAGATGGATGGAGTGTGTATTATCTTAGACAATGGTATCAGATTGGGACTCCATATCAGCAGATATAAAATCTGAAATGAGTCAGATTAGATTGGGGAGAAAAAACATGATGAAGACTTCTGTAGTACGCTGTAATACACAGAACAGTAGTACACAGTAGTAGTAGACAGTAATTAATGTGACTCTTTGGATGATGTTTGACGGTGAACCTGGGGCCTCAGTTACTATCAGTGCGTTGAAAAGGTTCTAAATTCTGTCGTACGAATGAAATTTAGAGTGTGTGTAAGTACAAAAACATCTGTATTTATCAAACGTGTACGTGGGTCGTACGTGCATCAGTAAGTCAACAGTGTTGGTAAATCCAAGTTGTTCTAAACTCCGTGCACGTTGCCTTCAGAAACGCCTCCATTTCACCATATACGGCAACAACACACCTGTTGATAAAGCAAGTTCAGATTTATTTTTCCCTCACCCATTGTCATCATTGTGGCAACTTTTCTGAAACTGAAATTGAGGTACTTGTCAGCGAGGTTGAAGCAAACCAGAAAGTATAGTTTGGTGAACTGAATGTTGGGATAAGTAGCAGAAGAAAAAATGCTGCACAGGACAAGATAACCACCACAGTTATTTCTGTTGGGTCAGAGGACAGATCGCAAAAATTTTAAAAAGTGGTTTGACATTAAGCTCAGTGCCAAAAAATGCATCACAGTCCATAAAAGAGAAATTATGCAACTAGAGGGGGATGAATTAATACCCAACGTTCACCCAGTGGACAACCCCGATCACTACAGATGACATGTTTTAATAACCAAACCATGTCCAACAAAAACATCTCACACTTTGTAACACTCACCAATAAGCCAGCCATCTTCAGCAGCTCCTGCTTGGAGACACACAGAGCTGATCTGCTCAATAAATCAGTTGTGTATTCCTCCAGGCCACCGGGCAACAACGTTGGATAGCCACAAATGTGCATCACTAATTATCTGTATGTTGATTGAATTAAACCCTTCTCTGTTTGCATAATTAAATTCATTTGTGATGCTGCTTTGAATGTCATGTGGGTGCAGTCTGTGGCTCCACTTATTTTTGGGAATCCAGCGATGGCGTGAAGTCCCCGTTTGATTTGGGCTTGTTGGTGATGGCTGTAAGGGAACTGGATGTATGCTGTGGCCAGGGGAGGAATGGCATCCAACACTGTCGGCATGATCCTGCTCAGTGGTGGCTGGAAACGTATATCTCCAACCTCACGCTGGAATGTGCCGGTGGTCAAAATCCATGAATGATTTCTATTTGTAGTTTCACTATTCTACCGCTAGATTATGTGTGTACGCACATTCCTGAGTATAAGTACAAGTTGATAAACTCCATACTTTGAGTAGGAATGTTCGTACGCACTGATGACAAGTGAGGCCCCTGGACTGTCAAAACGATCACACTCTGATGCCTTTATTAATGAACCAGTCCAATAGTCAATCAATAACTGATCCTGGATCAGTTTGATTGTGGATCAGTTTAAGTCTCGATATCAGCTGCTCAGGTGCGTTTGTTTCGTGTACTAGATCATGCTGGTTGAAGGAGTGATTTACTGCCTGCAGTCTAGACTGAAGCTCCGCAGAGCTGAAGGAAGCATCAACGCAGGAGGCTGCAGCTTCAACTCCTTCCTGAGGAGAACGGTCCGCTTCGTAGGTATGATACACCTGACACACCCGAGACACCTGTTTTACATGATACACCTGAGACACCTACTGCACTTGACACATCTGACACATTTGGCACACCTGCTGTATCTGTGACACTTGCTGCACCTGATATATCTGATACATCTGAGACTTGCTGCAATTGACGTGTCACCTGTCTGTCTCTCTCCAGGTGTGCATGTGTTCGGCCTGTGTGCGACGGCGTTGCTCACTGACATCATCCAGCTGTCGACAGGTTACCATGCCCCATTCTTCCTCACCGTCTGTAAACCCAACTACACGCTGGCTGGTGTGTCATGTGATAAAAACGCTTACATCACTAAAGACATCTGCTCGGGACACGACCAACACGCCATCATGGCTGCCAGGTGCGTTTTGTACTTCCTGTGTGTGTTGCTGTTGTGTTATTCAGCATGTCGCGGCTGATCAATAATCAAAGTTTCTTCTGCCCTCACAGGAAGACATTTCCTTCCCAGCATGCAACTCTGTCTGCCTTCGCTGCAGTTTATGTTTCTGTAAGTGCAATGCTGAAAAGCCGTCTGTTACAAACATGATTTGATCAGCTGGTTTTACTGTTGTTTTACTGGAGTTTAGGGATGTTTAGGGTTCACAAGGTTAAATCAATGTTTCTTTAAATCAGCTGAACGGAGCCAAACTGTAGTGAACTCACAGATAAAATGAGTAAGTTTCTGATAGGGATGTCCTGATTGGCCCTGCAAGGTGGATCAGTGGTTAGCATCTAGAAGGTCGCCGGTTCACGTCCCGGTGAGGACACCAGGGGTCTTTCTGCGTGGAGTCTCCATGTTCTCCCCGTGCAGCGTGGGTTCTCTCCAGGTTCTCCAGCTTCCTCCCACAGTCCAGAAACATGNAAACATGTTGAGGTTAATTGGTGATTCTAAATTGTCCGTAGGTGTGAATGTCAGTGTGCTGGTTGTCTGTCTCTAAGTGTAGCCCTGTGATAGACTGGTTACCTGTCCAGGTGAATCTGCCTTCACCCTGAGTCAGCTGGGATAGGCTCCAGCCCCCCCTGACCCTAGTGAGGATTAAGCGGTGTGTAGATGATGGCTAGATGTCCTTATCTAAGTTTATCTGCTTTTGGTGCAATCTGAGTTACTTAATATTTAGTATCTGCTGATATGTGACTCTGGAAGCAGTTCTGTGGACACATTAAAACAACACTTGAGCTATTTGGCCACAATGAGCAGAAATATGTTTGGAAGAAAAAAGGTGTGGCCTTCAACCCCAAGAACACCAAACCTACCATTAGCATGGGGGTGGCAGCATCATGCTCTGGGGCTGTTCTGCTGCCAGTGAAACTGGAGCTTTACACAAAGTCAATGGAACAATGAAGAAAAAGGATCACCCTCACGTTCTTCAGGAAAACCTAAAACCATCAGCCAGAGGGTTTGTTCCCTCTGGGAGATGATGAATGTTTTCAGGCTCTGATCTGAGCTTCTGTCTATTTCAGATGTACTTTAACTCCACCATCTCTGACAGCACCAAGCTGCTAAAGCCTGTCCTCGTGTTTGCATTCGCTATTGCGGCGGCGCTGACTGGTCTGACTCAGATCACGCAGCATCGCAGCCATCCCATCGACGTCTACGTGGGCTTCCTCATTGGAGCCTTCATTGCTGCTTACCTGGTGAGCTCTGACACACACACTTGCTAACGCACCTGTCACATCAAACATGTAAATCACATCTTTGCTTAAGAGTCTAACAAGTGATGCTTCATCCCTCCATCTTCATGTGTCAACCTTCATGCGTCTATCCACACGGAGCAGAAGCTCAGGGTTTTGAAGTTCTGCTGTGTGAACGTCTGCAGTCTGTTTCCATGTAAACCAGTTGGTCATCAACATAAACAGCTGCAGCTCTCTCAGTTAACAGCAGCTTAGAAGGTGCAGATAGAAGTTTATAAGAACTGCTGCCGTTTTGAAATGAAAGTATCTGCTCTTTTTATTTCAGCTGAGTACATTTGAACATGATTTTTAAATTTAGATTCAGATAAATAGCTTCAATTATTTATTATTTTGCATCTGATGGAAATTTACATTGTGTTCTTCAGGTGAAGCATTACAATTGTTCTGTCTGTTTTTCCACATTAAATAAAGAAAGGAATTAAAACAGAAGCGTCAATACCATAATTCTGATTAAGTTTCATCAAACAGACCAGCTGTTGTCATGGAAGCTGCTTTGTGTTGCTGTTGTCATGGTGACTGCATCAGTATAAAACAGAGGCTGATGGAGAGTCAGATCTTTATTTAACCAACATGTTTGAGCTCAGGGGCTTTTAGTGAGAGAACAACCTCTAGATTCTGCACAGTAACACAGTGATGAAGATTCTGCAATGCAGAAACTACAACAGACAGAAAACACAAAATGAAACCTCAGTTCTTTCTGCAAATTACAAAAACTCAGAACATGAGGTGCAGAAGCGAAAAAGGTTTGAACTAAAAACTAAAACTGTGATGTTAAAATCATTGTTGATCCTTATTGTGTCTTCTGGCTTCACTTCTGACTGTAGGATATGATTTTAGTAATAGAAAGTATCTTCAAAACAGTAAAAGTTCCCACACTCATAAAATGCCATAATGAATACAAAAGCAAACCTTAAACTTAATTAGGGATGTCCTGATCAAGTTTTTTTTGGCCCCAATCAGAGTCATATAATAAGTGTTTTCCAATACCGAGACCTAATCTCGTACCATTTTCTGGGATAACAAACTCTTCACGTATTGTAGACCAGCTGTAGTACCTGGTTGTTCCACCAGGTGGAGCCTCTTTCTGTTTAATACTGTAGAGACCAGAGGAGGCATCACTCAGACTACAGGCAGTTCATGTTGGCAGCAGAGAGCATTGTGGGAGTTCAGCAGCAATGGGACCATGACAGAGATTTCAGTGACAGTGACCTTCTCATCAAACACTGAGCTGCTTTTAATTTCCTCCTGCAGGCACTTCACGCTGTCGCCAACTTTAAGTCCTCTGATGACATCACACCAGCTCCGCCCCCCCCACCACCAAAGGAGGACCCTCTCCGAGCACTAACGGAGCGAGGACACGAGTCCGTCTACAACAAAGGCCCCGCCTCTGCGTCTGAGAGTAACGATGAGATTGCGGTGGCTCCTGCCCCCATGGACCGGCTGGAGGGCCTCGGGCCCCTGCAGAGGGAGAAGGGCTCCATGGGCAGCCTGAAGAGGGCCAGTGTGGACGTGGAGCTGCTGGCACCTCGGAGTCCAATGGGGAAGGAGACCATGCTGACCTTCAGTAACACACTGCCGAGGGCCAGCATGAATGTTAACGGGGTGCTGGGGGCCAACGAAGGGCCAGAGGAACAGGTGCAGCCGGTGCAGCCAGTGCAGCCGGTGCAGCGGCGGCTGAAGGCTGTGCAGGTTCCCATGGACCCCATGCGGTCACAGCAGCTGGTGTCTGAGTGGAAGCAGAAGTCGATGGAGATGCGGAACCTGAGCGTCCGGGATGAGGTGGAACACGAAGCCAGCGAGGATGGCTCTGAGGTGGGCTCTGTGGGTACTGACGATGGGGGGTCCCAGGTCCCCATCTACCAACCCACAGTGCCGTCTGGGAGGGCCAACTCCAGTCGCAACCCCACTCCACCCCCAGGGGGTGCCAAAGCTGTGGCGACTCCCAGACCACCACAGATCCCTGAAGCAGGACCCCCGCCGGTGTCCCCAAAGAGTGCCCTCACCCGTGCCAAATGGCTCGCCATCCGGGAGAAGACGGGCGTAGAGGCGTCGGCCCGCGGCGCCGCCAACCAGCCACGACTGATGCAGGTGATCGCCATGTCAAAGCAGCAGGGCCTCCTACCCTCCTCCTCCTCTGGGGAGAAATCCTCTGAGACCACATCCACCTGCTCTGGCACCTCATCCACTGCTGACTCACCACACTACCGCTCGTCCTCAGATCATCAGCGCGAAGGTTCTGGTATCATCACGGTGGACGCCCACGCCCCCCACCATCCTGTTGTCCAAGCCCCACCTCCTCCGCAGGCCCCGCCCCTCTCAGGTAACAGTAACCCGTGGGAATGGGCAGTGGCGTCCAATGGGGGCGACCCACGAGACACCTACGACCTTAACAACTTAAATCGAGGAGACTCAGCTGCCCGTGGCAGCAGCTTCCGTCCACGCCGGTCTGCCTCGCCGTGCACTGCCGTTGACCCAGCTCTGCCCTCTCCTCAGATGGAGATGTCTGCTGATGCTCAGCGCAGGGAGATGGCCATGAGACGCAAAACGGCACTGGTTCTGTTGGATCGAGAGATTCGTAACCAGACTGAGCAGGAGAACTATTACAAGAGTCTGCAGGGACGCAGGTTCAAGGACTAGTCTCTAATCTTTGAAAACAAAAGCCTTATTCACAAACTGTCGCTAGCAGCAGCAGTGAGGACGCACCGATACGCATTTATTGGGCTTCACCAACCAGCTGCAAGGAACCATCGAGACTCAACACTCTGGACAGTTTTCACTCCACAGAAACAACGTTTTTCAGAGTCCAGGAGGCTGCAGTGTCCGTCCTGTCCACCACAGAGGGGCTCATCATGAAAATAAATAGATGTATTATAGTAGTTATTCAGTTTAAGCACATTTCACACAACCCAAGGAAACTTTACATTCAGAAAACAAGTAAAAAGTTGATTGACTGAAAGTGAACCATGACAGGCAGTCAGTGGGAGTCCTGAAGAGTCAGTGGTTTTGTAGATAGAGAAACTGTTCTGGTTCTCCCCCATCTGGTCAGACTCAGCCACAGTTTGAAGTTAATCAGTTAAAGCACAATGGCCCAAAGTCAGGTTCTTCTGTTGGGTTTATTGAGTTAACTGGCATAGAGTTCTATCAGGAGGTCCAGGTGCTTTTGTCAAACCTCAGTGTAGTTTGACGTTCGAGCTCAGTGCTGAGGTTCCTCGGTTCTCCAACCTCCCAATGTTCTGTCCTCTGAGCCCAGTTTAGGTAGTCCAGTTTGTCCTTAGACGCTGCAACTGAGTCATCTGAGTATCTGAACGTTCTTTTACCAGACCGCCACAGAACCAACAGGACCGACCTGAAGAACCTGAAGTCAAAGAGCACAGAGATTATTTTAGATGTCCACTCTGGAAGCAGCACAACAGAAACCCTGCAGCAGAACCTGAACCCTGCAGCAAAACTGGCAGCGGCCATGTTGGCGCTCTCAGACTGTATATTTCCTGGTTGCGTGTTGTTGCCTCTTCGTTGTGATGGCTCGGTTGCTATAGTGATTCTCAGCATGTTTGTTTGTTTGTGTGCTGCTCTCTGATTGGTGGAGGCTGTGAGTCTGTTCGGAGTGTTGTGTTTCTGTGTGAGTGTGTATTTATTACCGATGGACCAATATGAGATTAAATATTTCTACACATATTCAGAATTTAAAGAGAAACTCGCTGATTTGGTTTCAGTGCCCGTAAATCTGCAAAGTCAACACGTTTACTGCTGTTTCTGTCTGCTGAGATAAAACTGTTTTCTAATTCTTTTTTTTAAAGAATTATGTAAAGTTTAGAGTGAGTATGAAAAATGCACAATGGAGTATTAAGGCCGCTATTTACTCTTACTGAATGTTTCGTGTTCTGTTGAACTTAATGAATCATGTTGTTCTCTGATTGTTTATGATGAAGTTCTCTTGCCTTTTTTTTTTCCCTCACAGTGACTCCAGTACTCTTAGAACCATAGAAGAACTGTCGCTGCTGCTTTCTGAGGCTCTGAAACCCAATCAGAGAGCAAATCTTTAGATATGAAGTATTGATGAGCCAACAATGGGTCTGTTAATGTGTCCGTGTTGTTGCATGTGATTCAGTCTGAGCTAAAGTCAGACGTCTCTTCATCTCTGAGATCCAGAGGTTTTTAATCCTTAAAGACTGACTCAGCGTTCCCATTTGAATGTAAAACCATGAAGCATCATTATTCTTGAATCTGTACATTTTGTGACTGTAAACAGAAAAACTGCTGCTATAAAAAGAATTGAATCTGTCAGAAACAGAAGCTGTTTCAGACTGAAGATGAGTTCTGCATGCTCTGTGGTCGTCAGGATCAAAGCTCAAAATAAAAACCTGTTCTTCATTATTGTTCCTCAAATTCACATTATTCCACATTTCATACTTGGGTCAATTTTATGTTGCTGCTTCACTTTTTAATTGTCCTGTTTGCCTCCGGGTACCTTTGTGAAAGTAAAAGTATTTGATGGGTACAAGTTAGGACAGTTTTACTTCACTTCTGTGTATACAGAAGGTTCTAACGGAACGGTCTGTACTGGGTTAGGGTTAGGGTTACTGTCTGAACTGTCTGAACTTCAGGGTTTCAGTGACGTGGAACTTGTGGAACATTCTGACTGATCTTTAGCTCATTAATTTCCTCCTTAATCCTGCAGTTAAACAGCCTCACAGTCAGTTCTTCCCTCACAGTTTCTCTGTAACTTCAGCTTCCTGGAGTTTCTGGTCCCGCAGGGCTTCAGTTTAAACCAAGCAATTAGTGCAGAGAGATTAAAGAGCTGTGAGATGTTCACAGGACTGTGGGAGATTTCCCTCTCAGCCTCCAGAGGACATTTAATAAAATCCTTAGCTGTTAACTTTGACCGGACAGAGTCCAGTTCTGAGAGTTTCTGAACCTTTGAAGGATCAGCTGACAGAACTCTCTGACCAATCAGCTGCCTCAGCTGGAGCTCCATGACAGACAGACTATAATTTTAAATCCATCCGACTGTTAATCAGCTTAGATCAGTGCACACAGAGTAATCAGAGTAAAAGCAGTGTGCAGGAGGTGCAGCAGTGATGTCATCAGCAGGCACCAACAGGTCTGTTTGTGGGGCGGAGTCTCCAGGTGTGCAGGTACCGCCTGCGCTGCAGGTGACTGATGGCAGGATATTGTCAGCCTCCTTCAGGTGGATCTACTGAACTCACCTGATCACAAACCTGATTGATCCTGACTGATCAGTGACAATCAGTCAGGTTCAGTCTGTGTAAAAAAATATTCACACTGTGATGACACACACACACAAACACACACAGCCTCATGTCCTGCACCTTCAGGCTCATTATGCAGTTTCCACGGCAACAGTGATGATGGCTGATGTTGAGATAAGAGCTCAGTTATCTCTCTCACATGCACACACATAGACACACACTCACTGTTGTGGTTTGTTTTACTGAGGCTTGTTTATATTTACATATTTATATAAATGGACATAAACAAAATATTATTAGTAACATAATCTGTACATTCAGAATTAAATATTATTAAATGCATGTATAATATTGTTTACTAAATACATAATTCTGATTCAGATCTAAACACAAAGTAAAACATGTAATGAAAGCAGTAATATTAATAATAATAATTATAATAATAATAATAATAATAATTATAATGTCTGAATTAGAAGAGGAGCGTATTTGATTCATATTTAAACGTCATCACATGTCAAGTCAAACTGCAAAATGTCCAGAAACATGTCACATATTTAAAAATTACGTAACAGGTAGTTCATGTTTTTATATTATTATTATTATTATTATTATTATTATTATTATTACTTTGTCAAGGATGATTGGCCATTGAAAACTAGAAAAAAAAAATTTAAATATCAAAACATATCCAGCGATGGACCAGGAGCCCCCTGGTGGCTGCAGGGGTTTACTACATGAAGCATCCTGCCTGAACCAGATCTCTGTAAACCTGATCTGAACCTGAGACCTCGACTGAACACGTGAACAGAAGCTGCAGAGTCTTCACACAAACACCTCCCACCTCCTCCATCACTGCTTTTTATGTCCTGGAGGAGATCCAGCAGCCACAGTGTTGCCATGGCAACAGCAACCAGGAGTGTGTGTGTGAATTTATAATCTGAACAGGTCGCCGCTTTCTGTGTCCTTATGAGGCTTTTATTTTGAAGGAACTCTGCTTAGGATAAATTCTTATTGCTGCAGGAGGTGGATGGAAGATAAAGCTCAGCGATGAAAAATGTAGAAAATGAAAATGTGACAAATATTAAATCAAACAGAAACACATTAAAGCTCCTCACTGATTCTATTTAAATCAGATTAAAGTCTCGTGTCTCAGAATGAGTCTCAGTGAGACACTGAACCACCCGGGCCTGGTTTACTGGTTTAGATTAAACACTGAACCCACATGGTCCTGGTTTACTGGTTTAGATTAAAGCTCCACCATGTCTGGATGTCCCTCAGTGGAACAGTTTCCACCATCAAAGCTAACATTAGCCACATTAGCAGCACAACGTGCTAACACTAAGGATTCTCCTATAGTTCTGGAAACAGTCCATCACAACAGTAATCCGCCATGTTTGTTCCTCAGATGACAATGCCTCAGGGTTTTAATAAATGACAGAAGTAACGTCCTCATATTGTAACCTCCTCCTCCTCCTCCTCCTCACCTCCAAGATTATAACAACCACAGAACACAATAAAATGCATTTTCACCAGATGGGGCCTTCAAGAAACTCAACGTATTGATCTCTAACTTCACAGAATGAACCAAAAGCGAAAAACAGCAGCTTCTGTGTCTGCTGGACTCAGTGAAAACAACATCACTGAATATGACAATGACTCTCAGTTCTACTCATTTATCGCTGAAGCTCTGATTATTGATCCTGATCACATCTCAAACAGTGTTTTCCAGAGAGCGGACTGGAGATGAGAGGTGATTTAATATGTGTGGATCTGTTTTGGGGAACATCACCTGTTTCTGAGCTGCTCAGGTGTTTTAGCGTCATGGTGATGGTAGAAATGAAAGTTAACTGGATGACGCCTGCCTCAGGGTTCATGACTCTGCCTGAATAGTTACAAACAGAGTTCACCTTAAGATTCTGATGATTTTCCTCAATCTCTGCATGTTCAGGCTCTGACCTCTAAACTTTAAACAGCTGATTCAGCACCTTGGCCCTCAGATCAGAGATTCAGTTTCTGCTGGAGGCTGAAAACAAAGGAGGAGCAAAACTGTACAGTTTGAGCTCCAGCTGTGGTGGAACAAAGTGCCTCTGACTCTGCACAGACTGCTGTTTGTAGAACATTTCATTTTCTAAAGTTTTGTTATTGCTTTTTTTTAAACATTTCACTGTCTTTACTGATGTTTTATTGTCACTTTCTAAGAAACTTATGTTTCCACTTTTTTTTCTGTTCTTGTTCTTTTTGGAATTGTAAGAATTTTTATTCTGCTTGACTTTTTTTCTTTTATCTTTTTCCACCTTCCTTGATGATTTGTCAGTGCTGTTTATCGGATTTTTATGCAACTGAAGCCTAATAAATTGAAATCTGTGAGAACACCTGGCAGATAGAACTCAAGGAAGAGAACAGAGACTCCTGGCAGTCCGCGCTCAGGGCGGCGAGAGCCTCTCAGACAGCGTTCAGGGTTAAATCGCTACACTCATTAGGACCCGTATTTCCGCTGTTTCTAGTAGCAGCACCGTCAGACTACTGTTAGCCTCCGTTAGCTGCTGTGAGCTGTTATTAGCTTCTATCAGCTGCTGTTAGCTGTCATTTCAGAGTTGTTCTTACCTCCCTCAGAGTCACTCCGAGTCTTCTTCCGTGGGATCCGACTGAGATGTGTCCTCTGTCCGTCCCGGAGCAGCGAGCTAACAGCTAACTCCGCCCCGTAACTAGCTGCTAGCTGCTAGCTCCAGCAGCGCTGATCTCCTATGCGCAGCTAGCGAAGCCTGCTAACTGTGCTAACTGCTAGCTGTGGCGTTGTGAATCTGCTTGTTTGTTTGGATGAAAAGACCGAGGAGGAGCCGTTAACGGGGGCATGGATACACACCTGCGGAGGCTGTAACAGGTGAGTCCGCTACACCTGATCTACACCTGATCCACAGCTGTTGGTCCGAGACACGGAGAGTTAGCTGGAGGCTGTTTACCTGCTCAGCACCACAGGCCCCAATCACACCTGAGTCTGCTGAGCAGGACTGATCAATATATACCTGAATCTGCTGATCAATACGTTGCAAGGTGTTGTTCAGTTCCTGATCAGGTGTGTGAGGTGAAATCAGCTGGAACAAACAGCTGCTTCATAAACTGGTATTACTTTATAAGACTTTGTTGTTGTCGACTTCATTTTCGAGGCTTAATTATATTTATCCATCAGCCAACAACCACAAACCAAAAGTGACGACATAAAAACATGTTTTTAGAAGTTTTGGGTTTTTTTTCTTTTTGCAAATACATTGAGAGTCAGAAGCAGGACTGTTCACAGCTGTGCAGCTGTTTCTGACTGAACTCTGGAGGTTGTTTTGGAAACGCTTCAGGAACAGAAGTGTAACTGTCGTCTGTTCGTGTTTTATACGTTAAGAAATTAAAATAATTGTCCATTTCCTGTTGATTTGATACATTTGTTTAATAGACTCTGCTTCCTGTTCTGGGCCAATAGTTTGTCAGTCGGGCAGGTGAAACCTGCATTAACCCTCTCTTATCATATTAATAAGCTTTCTTTATAAACCACTTTTCAAAATTCAAGATACTTGTATAATAAGTCCTTCACAAGGCAACAAAATAAAGCAGACACCATAAAGTCATCAGGTTTTAAAATAAGAATACAGTTTAAAATCCATCTCTTCTTCACACATCTCTGTTAAATCCCTACACCCTGAGGAAGTTGTAGATTTCACCTGCCCGGTGTGAAAGACTCTGAGCAGGTGGAGGACTGAGGTCACCTGCTGCCTGCTGAGCACACTTGAGAGACTGCACAGGTGTAGACGTCTCTCAGTTCATACAAGGTTCCAAAGAACCAGCCGATGTGTTGAATCTCCTCTGAACACCTCTTCCAGTTTTCAACGCTGGATTACTGAAGCTGGAGATGCAAAGTTTAAACATTTTTATTAAGTGATAGTCAGCAGCGTCGTCTGTTAGTAATCAAGTGTCATTAAAGGTAATGACATGCAGCGATCGCAGTTTAGTTTGACCTTGGACACATGGCTTTCACAGTGAAAATGGTTTGGTTACATCAGCCAATAAACGTGGGGAATGTCACAGCTTGAGAATGTGAGCTCCTCCTGGAGGTCATTAACCACCACTGACGTCTTTGTCATAGTGCCCCTATTAAACAGTAAGACGCTCCGCATGGTGGAGCAACCAGGTACAACAGCTGATCTGCAGTACATTTGCTGACATGCATGACGTTCACCTGCTGCATTATTGTTTTATATATATTTTTATCTGTTAATTTTTAATGACATTTACTCAGTTACTGATGATCATGGACATTCATCCATTCTGCTAGGAGGAGAAGGTCTTTCTTTCTTGTGGCGCTTCGTGTCTGAATGAAAGCTTTCCCTAAAAAGACGTGATGACAGTCTTAGAAGGTCAGACTGAGAAACATTTCACTTTCAACACAGTCTGAAGTGCAGCATCACTTTCCCACAGATGCACAAGAAACAGAACTTTTAGTTGTGTAAAGGGATGTAAATACTTTTTTCTACATTTAATCTCCAATATCGATCCAAAAACATCACAGAGAGTTTCGACTCTGAGTTTAATAAAACCTGCAGCATCCAGTGAGAGAGAAGCTGCATTTAGAGCAGCAGCTTCGTTACTGAGTCTTGACTGACATGGAGACAGGATGGATCAGGATCTAACAGCAGCTGCTGGAGAAGTCACAGTTCGTCACACATGGACAGAGTTCAGAAATCAACCAGGATGTCAGTTATTAGGACACTTTGATCAGCTGCTGTTAGTTCAGATCCAGTCTCCTGTTGTTACGACATTAATATGTTTTATACATACTTGTATATATTCTGTGTGAGTGTGAGATATTTCTGGGTTCTTCTGAAGATCAGCTGGTGGACTTCAGTGTGATGATTCTGCTGGTCTGAATGGAGCGTTTATTCCTCTATGAAGGTTTCCAGGAGAAGTGTCGTGTTGGGAAGTTTCAGCTATGATCTGACTTTTTAACTTGATCCCAGACCAAGACTGATGTTCACGTTGAATCCTGTGTGAACTCACGTGTGTGTATTTTGATGCAGATCTGCGCCGTTCTAATAAAAACCATGAACTTTATTCTTAAAGCATCCTATAAATAAATGTTGCTGAGCGCTTTGTAGGTGGAAACACAATTTAAAATCTGTTTAACCACCATTAAACTAAAACCCTCCGAATAAAACAAGGTACAAAATAAAAAGTACAGGAAGCTAAAAAAGAAATAAAAGCACAAATGGTCACATAAAACGAAGTGCAGCTTAGAAGCTAAAAGCTAAAAGCCACCAGCGCGATCTTGATCAAGGATGATTGACCATCTTGTTGAATTTTTGAAGCTGTTTTCAGAGCGCAGCTTTGGTTTTGAGCTGAGGCTCACATCAAATCTGGCTTCATCTCAGGTGTGCTTTAGTTTCAGGTGTGAAGACACTCAGTCCGCCGAGGCCACCGTCATCGTCGGATCTCAGCTCAGAGCTCCGCCTTCTTTCTGGCGCCGGCAGCCATGCTGACCTAGAATCATCCACAGTTGTGAGTTTGTGCAGTGTGAGCAGAACCAGACACCGAGACCATGTCTGAGAACCAGGCCAACAACAACAACGTCCCTCTGAACAACAACAACAACAACAACATGGGACCCAACAGGATCCGAAACCCCAACATCAACCAGAATCCCCTCATCAATGTCCGGGACCGCCTCTTCCACGCCCTCTTCTTCAAGATGGCCGTCACCTACGCCCGGCTCTTCCCCCCGTCCTTCAGGAGAGTCTTCGAGTTCTTCGTCCTGCTTAAGGTGAGAACATCTGCATCACAGCAGGTCAGGACCAGGGTCCACAGTCCTGGAGAACCTGAAGACCCCATGTTAGACCTTATAGAACCAGGACCTGAAGGACCAATCAACACAAAAATAATCAAACACTGTTTTGACAGTGAATTAATCCTGATGGTTTTAGAGTGAAAGTATCTAAGCTGATTATTGATAACTGACAGCTGATTATTGATAACCAACAGTTGCACATTAAAGCTGTTCAACTTTAAACTTCATGTATTTTAAACCTGATGTTGAACTTAAGGTCATTTAGGTCTGACGCTGTCCCATAATGCAGGAAATCACTTTAATAACGACAAATCAAAGTGAATCAATGTTCCTGATTTAACGTTCTTTGTAATAAAGACCAATAGATAATCAATGATCTAATCAGTGCTCTATCAGCTGCAGTACCAGCAGAGTAAACATAGAAACATGTTGATGTGATTTCTGCATCAGCAACTGAACACATGTAGGTTTCCATGGCAACAGGATGCCTCCAGTGTGTGATGCTGTAACTGCTTCATTCAGCGGTTTTAGTAACACACAGATCAGCAGCTTTTACAGAGAAAACATCATCATCAGGAAACAGTTTGGTTACAGGGAGACGCTGAGCAGAACCTGAACCAGGTTAGCATCAGTTACCATGGCGACCTAGCTCCACAGCATCAGTTACCATGGAGACCTAGCTCCACAGCATCAGTTACCATGGAGACCTAGCTACACAGCATCAGTTACCATGGAGACCTAGCTCCACAGCATCAGTTACCATGGAGACCTAGCTCCACAGCATCAGTTACCATGGAGACCTAGCTACACAGCATCAGTTACCATCGAGACCTAGCCAAGTAAACTTAATTATTGTTATATTCTTGTACTTTCTCTATTTTTGGATGCTGCTGTGGCGTGTAAATTTCCCCCAGTGGGTGATCAATAAAGTATTTTTCTATTCTATTCCAAACGGAGAGACACCTTCATGACACTGAAAACTCTGACTTTAGGCTAATAGTAACTTGTTAACACAGGAGTCGCACATCATAGCTCAGCCCTCAAATGTAGGTGAGAGGACAGACTGACCCACACAGTCCTGGGTCTTTGAATGCACCACATCCTCTGCCTAAATAAAACAGATTAAGTGTATTGAAACGAGGCCACTGAGACTCTTATTATAGTCAAAGGCTGTTAGACGTCCTGGATAAAACCTGAACGCTGTCTGAAATCCACTTTATTTTTGAAAAAGTAAGAAAATGTTGGTTTGAGCTGCTCACACACTTAATAAGGTTTCACAGTTGGGAAACAGAGTTTTAAACGGACTTAATCTCACTGTTCATCCAGAGTCCAGCAGTGGTGGTTCTGCTCTGATGGGGCTTTCACTAGAGATGTTAGATCAAGTTTTTCATTTGCCAGTGATCTGATTCTAGTTATTTAATATTTAGTAACTACAGAGTCCCAGTCTCATACTATTTTCCTGATAGTATACACTTCAAGTACATAAAAGTTATTACAACCCGTCCACTGTTTATGTTTGACAGCTGAATCTGCCTCCAGTCTTTTCCTTAATGTTCTGTAAATGCAGTGTTAGAGGGTAGGATGTACTGAGGCTCCAACAGATGGAGAAAACCTGTATTCTCTACATGATGTCAGTAAATGTAACCCTAACATTCACCCTCTAACACTACATTTACCCTCTATCTCTACATGTAGACAGGGTTCTGCTGGAGCTTTTACTACAAGGATCCTGACATCTCATAATGATCCCTGAACCTGCAGCGACTGAGCTGGATTATATGTGCACTGTTTCATAATACGACCTCAACGCTGCTGTGGAACTTAAAGAACAAATGTAGACATTCATCAAGGGCTGAACAACGATCCATTTTAACCAAAAGCAGCTCTTTAAACACTGCAGTTAGCCAAAGCTGGGAGCTGAGGAATGTTCTGCAGCATCTCATCAAGGTTTCAGCTGACAGTGGTTTTATAAATTCATGTGTGACAGTTGTTCATCTGATGGCGTCTCAGGTGGTGATGCTCCATAAATTGTATCAGGGATCAGTTCACGGTTTCTGTCAGAAAAATCACAATTTTCCACACAAACACCATTCTGTTTTAACTTTAACATTGAAATTAATTAATATGTGGTTGCTCAGTATGTAAGCTCTGCTGTCAGTCAGCATCAAGTCACACCTGTATGAGCTTTGACCTGCTTTGTGCAGGTGAGATCTCTTCATCCTCCCTCAAGGGGACATGTTCATCGGTTTCTCAGTCTTTATGAGGCACTGAAAGATGGTCAGGTTTAGTGAGGAGAGTAAAATCAGTAATATTAACATTTAATAATGAGCCTCTAACTGTTTATAGCCGCAGGTAGGTTTGATTTCCTCCTGTGGGAGACTTGCGCATAAAAATAATGTTTTTTACCATCTCAAGAGACTCGGAGTAAAAAGTGCTGAGTTCAGAAAAACAGTGTTTGAATGTGAAACACACAAACTTGATTGGTGTGAAAACAACAACAGAATGTTGAGTTCAGCAGGTTGTTCAGTCTGCAGCACCGAGGACTGAAATGAGGCTGGAGTTTTCAGATTAACAGCAGTCACACCTTTGAGCTTTACTCAGCAGACACAGTGACACACGACGCCGAGTCGCGGCACGGATCCCGAGTCACGGTACTATAGGCCGACTCATGGCACAAAACCCAGAGTCACATTACAGCCTGCCGAGTCATGGTACTACAGAGTCAGGTCATAAAAGTCATGCAGGTGTTGTGAGTACTTATAAGCTGCCAGGATGTGATGCTAGCTTTGAGCTGTGATTGGCTGATCGAAACTCCGCTCCTCAGGCACTCTTCGTCCTCTTCATCCTCGCCTACATCCACATCGCCTTCTCCCGCTCGCCCATCAACTGCCTGGAGGGGGTGAGGGAGCGCTGGCCTCGTGATGGCATCCTGCGAGTGGAGATCCAGAGGAACTCGAGCCGCGCTGCCGTCTTCCTGCAGCACTACGACTCACCTGCCCTGCAGGATGACCTAGAGGCGGAGCCAGGGGGTGGAGCTCCGGTGGCTGGACTTAGCCTGGCGGCGCTGCAGGACGAAGATGAGGACGAGGAAGAGATGACTCTGGACATGTTTGACAACAGCTCAGTACAGGTGAGTGGTGATCACATGTCTCACCTGTCTGTCCTCACTTGTCTGTCCTCACTTGTCTGTCCTCACCTGTCTGTCCTCACTTGTCTGTCCTCACCTGTCCTGTGTTTTGTGCTGCAGTTTGAGCTGGACATTGAACCCCGCCTGAAGCCGTCTCTGATTGGAGGAGGCGTTGGAGGAGGAGGAGCAGGAGGAGTGAACGACAGCCAGGACGTCTCCTTCAGCCAGACCACTAAAGGTATGCAGCCGCTGAGGGACTCAGTGTCTGAGCTGGAGATGATGACGAGAGCAGGTAAACCCTCCTTCACCTCCTCTGACTCCTCCTTCAACTCCTCTGACTCCTTCACCTCCTCTGACTCCTCCCGCACCACCTCTGATTCCTCTCAGTTTACCTCCTCTAACTCCTCCTTCACCTCTCTGACTCCTCCCTTCCCTCACCTGACTCCTCCCTCACCTCCTCTGACTTCTCCCTTCCCTCACCTGACTCCTCCCTCACCTCGCTTGACTCCTCCTTAACCTCTCGACTCCACCCTCACCTCGCTTGACTCCTCCTTCACCTCCTCTGACTCCTCCTTCACCTCCCTGAACTCCTTCTTCACCTCCCCGGACTCCTCCCTCACCTCTCTTGATTCCTCCCTCACCTCTCTGACTCCTTCAGTACAGAAACACCTGCTAAGTTGTTTGTAACAATCTTGTTTTTATTTTTGATAAATTGCTTGTTTTGTTGATGTTTATTTTCTTTTGTTGTTAATTGTTCATATTGCTGATGATGTTTATTGTAGTTTATTGATTGCTGTTGTTTGTTGGTTATTATTTTTGTTATTGTTTTTGTTGTTCTGTTGTTGTTAATTGTGTGTTGTTGTTTTTTTGATGACTTTTGTTTATCGTTGTTTTTTGTTTCGTTGTTGTTGTTGTATAGTGTTGTTGGTTGTAGTTTTTGTGGTTATTGTTTACTGTTGTTTACAGCTGTTGTTTCTGTGGTTTATTGTTTCTTGTTGTGTAACTGTTGTTGCTTCTTGTTGTTTGTGGTTCCAGTGTGGCCTCAGGAGGAGTACATCGTGGAGTATTCTCTGGAATATGGCTTCCTGCGTCTGTCTCAGAGCACCAGGCAGAGACTCAACATCCCCGTCATGGTCGTCACTCTGGGTAGACATCAGCACGTCATGTGACCTCACCCTGTCGTGACTTTTTTTGCAGCGCCACCGTGGCTGCCCTGATGGACCTCAAACCTGTCTGTGTCTGTTTTTGTCTTTAGATCCGATGAAGGACGAGTGTTTTGGAGACGGCTTCAGTCGCTTCCTGCTCGATGAGTTTTTGGGCTACGACGACATTCTGATGTCCAGCGTGAAGGCGCTCGCTGAGAACGAGGAGAACAAAGGTAGAGAGACACTGAGAATGAACAGTGCGAGAAAACGAGGCAGGGGGACTCCGAGAGTGAGGACAGATCACGTAATAATCACCTGATTTCTGATCCTGAAACCAAAATCAGAAATAGGCTCAAAACGACTTAAAAGAGCAGTCATCAGTAGACGCTGCGGTTTCCAGAGGTTCCCTAAACGCCTCACAGTCATCAGTAGATGCACAAAGTGAAATAAGGAAATCTAATATCAGAGTTACCTGAAACCAGGTGAGTTTATCTACCTACACGGATCGATCGGAGACAGATGGCTGAATGTCATGAGCTCTGCTATCCAGTGGTCACAATCTGTTGTTCGGTAGGAGATCTGCCTGCTGATCCTCTCAGATGGAGTCACAAGAAATAAAGTCTCGTTAGCATGTTACATTTAGACAGAATTCAGGAAATAGAATTAACTGATTTGTTCTGTAAAAGGTTTTTGCTGAATGTACAGTTTCAAAAGTTTTCAGACCTCGCAATTTTTCTGCTTTCACCCTCAAAACAACTCAAGTCATTTTGAAGGTTCAACATCTCCAGAACTAAAACTTGCAGTCATGATATGTGGTGAGGACACAGACAGAATAGTTTACAGCCGATCCGAATGATTGATTGTTCTCCAGAAGAGGACCGTGGTGCTCCTGCCAATGAGTCCACAGCACCACTTTGTAAAAATATCTAAAAACTGGAACCTTGTCTTGTCAAACTTTCCAAACATTAAATTGTGTGTCCTCTGCTGGATCCATTCAATCCTTCTGATAGAAGCTCTTCTGCCTGAGTCACCACATTTCATGTCTGTGGACGTTTTATTTCTACAGATACTCAACCCAAAAAATGGCTTCACAGTGAGATGGTTCTTTTGAGGGTGAAAGTTTAAAGACATGAAATTCTCTAAATTCAGACCAAATATTTACAGATCTTAGGTTCGGGTCCCAAATCAAGAATAAGTAACCTGAAATAAGATGGACTGACACAGTTAACTGGATCTGTAAATATTTGGTCTGAATTTTGTGAATTTCATGTCTTTAGACCACACAGGCTGTGGTTTGTTTAACCGGGTATGATAAATGTTCTCATGTGAGAGCCAAACCCCCTCGGTGTGGTTTGTTTGATCTGATTACAGAGTTTATTTCAGAATCCTGTTGTAGGTTGTGGTACTCTGTTTTTCTGACGCTCTACGTGCTGTATGAGGATGGGAGCTGTTGCCTCCTGATGCCACCAGAGGGAGTCTTACCCTCAGTGAGGAGGAAACAAAGGTTCTAACCATAGACTGTATAAAAGATGGACGT